AACAAAGTTAAACGTTTCGATGCAAACTGGTTGAGCAATGCTTCGTCATTCTCTCTTTCGTTCACGACTGAGCTCACGACCCCCTTAGCGTGACTCTCATTCGGAGATAGGAGAGTAAGGTGGAGGAGCAGATTTGTGTGCCTTCGTTGCACATTGATTGAGAATTGTAGAACTCCGAGCCCCAATAGAGAGAGAGGTAGAAAAGCCTTGATAGTTCCGAATGATTAGGTGTGGCACTAAAGGCGAAAAAGGAGACTCATTAAAGTGACTGACCTCATGCTCATTCACTATTTTCGCGTTGAGAGGTGGATGGGATGTGAATCATCTAATTTGTACACTTCCAATTCACGTATACTATCTTCAGACATCACTCTGGTATACCAACACACACTATCTCTCTTCCAACTGGCTTGCGAATATACCATGATGATCGATAGAGGGTGCGCGACAGACTTAACTTCACCACCAGACTTAACAGTAACATCTACGTCAGCACTGAAGAAGATTACGCCTGACTCCCTGACTAATCACAGACTACTTCACGAATGGGTAAGCTCCAGGACAGCTTGATATATTTGTAATCAAAGGTACTCTCCTTCAAATTCAACCAATATCCTGTCGAACATTGCAACAATATCACGTATATTATGATCAGATGTTCATAGAAAACTATTCCCTGTGGCAAGATTAAACACAATCGAGTGATTTGGTTTGAACACCTTGAAGAACTGAAAAGAAAGCGGGACGCCATTCGCAACATTGCTGATCAGACTGGAAGAACGGAAGACGTACAAGACTGGAGACGACAATCAGTTGTCCTAAGGCTGGCCATCTTACATGCTAAACGGACTTCCTTCGACAATTTCATCTCAAATATCAACTATCAAAGTGATAGCCAACGCACGTTCAAATTACTGGGTAACATCCAAAACAACATCGACAAGTTCATCTCAAATATCAACTATCAAAGTGATAGAAAAGTTCATCTCAAATATCAACTATCAAAGTGATAGCCAACGCACGTTCAAATTACTGGGTAACATCCAAAACTAAAGGAAAAGACCCAAGAAAGAACCAACGAACTGCTTGCTACCGACTCCGAAATAGCTAACTGCATTGCAAGGTTCTATTCCCACAAGCCAAAGAAAAACCCTTTTATCAGAAAATCATTGAGAGATTTAAAGATACAAGTAAGACAGTTTGGTGAAATTAAGGAAGACATAAAAACACCAAATAATGCACTTACTGAACCATTTAGACCTTGCTATTTTAATGCTGCGATAAAACAGCTAAAGTGCAAGAATTCTCCTGGCGAAGACGGTATTCATTCGGAATTTCTAATTAGAATGGGTCCAAAAGCCAAGGAAACCATGCTGATACTTTTCAACAAAATCTGGGAGACCAGTCTCGTACCTAACCAATGGAAAGTTGCCATAGTAATATCGGTACTAAAAAGAGTAAAGACCCTAGTAACTTTGACAACTATAGGCCTATCTCCCTAACTTATGGAAAGAATAGTTGACAGGAGGCTGACCTGGTTTCTTGAGACCAATAATATTCTTAGGAGTGGACAAGCAGGTTTAAGGCCACAAAGATCAACTAACCAACAAGTAGCCACTTTCTTTTTTAGGTCACAATGATCAACGAACCAACAAGTAGCCACTTTCTCCCAACTATCAAAGATGATTGATGCAAGAAATACCCTTACGGCTCATTTCAAATCAGCATATGACTTAGTATGGACGCATAACATGCTAAGCTTGGATAAAACATATGAACAAAGATCGTGTAAAGTCAGATATGGAAATGCTCCATCATCTTTTTCAAACAGGCCTTCCACAGGTGTCACAAGCTGCACTCTACAGGCCTTCCACAGGGAGCTGTCACAAGCTGCACTCTTTTTTCCACAGGGAGCTGTCACAACCTGCACTCTTTTCAATGTTGACAGGGAGCTGTCACAAGCTGCACTCTTTTCAATGTCTTCATCGATCTCATCATTGACATAGCCGAATTGGTACAGACAGTCACGGGCATTAAGTGCTTACTTTATGCAGATCATCAAGTGCTTACTTTATGCAGATGATCTGGTACTATGGTTGCTTACTTTATGCAGATGATCTGGTACTATGGTATTCCGGGCTTACTTTATGCAGATGATCTTGTTCTATGGTATTCCGCCTACTTTACGCAGATGATCTGGTACTATGGTATTCCGCCCCCAAGGAAAAAAGCTAAGGAGAGGACAGAAAGTGTCCTAAATTGTGCACTTATCAAACTACTAGCAAACTGGTGCGACAACAATGGAATGGTAATTAACAGCTACTGCATTCCAAACATTTCCTCTCCCTCGTCTTAGCATAAACCCGCTTCTTCTTTGGCCCATCAGAGCATAAACCCGCTTCTAAGGTTTTGGCCCGTCACAGCATAAACCCGCTTCTAAGATACAAGGAAATCAACACCGCGAAAACTGCATTCCAAACTTTTTCTTTGACCCGTCACAGCACACTCTAGAAAAAACCAATGAGTTCGCCTATCTCGGAATGACATGGTACAAGAATACTACCCTTGTAAAAACCAATGATTTCGGGTACAAGGATACTACCCTAGAAAAAACCAAGGAGTTCACTTATCTCGGAATGATGTTTGGCACAAAGCTAACACGGTAAAGCCTCATCGCTAAATTAGCAGAACGAGTAACCAATAGACTGAAAGTACTGAAGCGTCTTGCTGGTAGCGTATGGGGCTGTGGACGCTCAACTCTCAACACCACTTACAAGATATTTATTCAGCCAATAATGTTGCATTGCTATGAGTCACTCATTAAAGCCACAGAGGTGACTCTCAAACCACTCGAGAAGGCTCACAACCAGGCATTACGACTAATTACTGGAGGGATAAAATCAACACCCATTGATGCAATTCTCCTGATTACAGGGAACACCACAATATGTTCCCTTATCAAAGAGAAGGCCTTGATCCTGTATGAGAAGCTACTGCACATTCCCATGGACAAGTTCTTCAGCACCTATGAGAATAGACCGAGACATCTGAAAACGCAATCTGGTCTAATACAGAAAGCCATAGAACTGAAGAAGGCATTACAAATCGATGACAAACCAAAAAGTCTCCCTCTACCCAATCACCCATTTAAAGACACTGATGTAGTGTGTTGCACCCAACCGCTTGACTACTTCAGGAAATCAAACACCTCTCCAGAACAAATGCGCCCACTGGCCCTTGAGACAATCAATGTCAACTATCCTGTAGAACAATGGCTCTAAGTCTTCACTGATGGAACTATCCTGGAGATCAATGGCTCCAAGTCTTCACTGATGTTAGAAGTCTGCACTGTTGAGGCTGCAAAACTTACTGGCCCTTGAGACAATCAATGTTAACTATACTGGAGATGGGTCAACTATCCTGCAGATCAATGGCTCCAAGTCTTCACTGCTGGAACTATCCTGGAGATCAATGGCTCCAAGTCTTCACTGATGTTAGAACAATGGCTCTAAGTCTTCACTGATGGGTCTTACATAAAAAACCAAGCAAACGTTGGTGCAGGTGTCCAATCTAAACTCTTCTCTTTCTACGCAGCAGCGTGGCACAATAGATCCGCTTTCGAATGGGAAATAGAGGTCATTAGGATAGCACTAAGCCAATTATGTGGCCTCGATAGGAAATTCACCAAAGTGGTGATACTTTCGGACTCATAGTCAGCAATAGACTCTATTGGAAACAGAGAGACACCCAAAACAGCTGAGATATACGAATGTAAAAAACTCTATGAGTTGCTGGGAGGGAAAAACATAACAGTGGTCCTACAATGGATTCCTGGTCAATGTGGCATTAAAGGCAATAAGCGTACTGTCGCACTTGCTATGAAGGGAACAGCAATTTTGCAAGGCATAGACCGGCTGACGTCTTGCCACACAACGAGGGCCTTAATCAGAAGAGAATTCTATACCTCAAGGTGCAACGAACTTAAAGCTCGAACAAAGGACAGTTGGCACTCTCCGATATAACCGACTGGCCAGGAATCGAAGCCGTTGCCGACTGGCCAAGAATCGAAGCCGTTGCTGAGTTTAACTTTGGCCAAGAATCGAAGCCGTTGCTGAGTTTAGACTACGTACCGGACGGATTGCCTGGCAAAACACCTTCAAAGATTGGGAGTATACAGTCAAGGTGCAACGAACTTAAAGCTCGAACAAAGGAGAAGGCAACGAAATTAAAGCTCGAACAAAGGAGAAACACAGTTGGCACTCTCCGATATAACCGACTGGCCAGGAATCGAAGCCGTTGCCGACTGGCCAAGAATCGAAGCCGTTGCTGAGTTTAGAGTGGCACTCTACCACATAGCCGAATGGCCAAGAATCGAAGCCGTTGCTGAGTTTAGACTTTGGCCAAGAATCGAAGCCGTTGCTGAGTTTAGACTACGTACCAGAACACGAATGCTTGGCAAAACACCTTCACAGGTTGGGAGTATACACTCCTGGCGAAGCACCTTCACAGATTAGGAGTATACAATCAAAACACCTTCACAGATTGAGAGTATACACTCAACCCACATACTCTATGTAACCTACAGGAGGAAATGGAGAAGTCCCACCTGTCTATGTGACCTACAGGAGGAAACGGAGAAGACCCACCATATGTAACCTACATGAGGAAATGGAGAAGACCCATCTGATCTGTAACCTACAGGAGGAAATGGAGAAGACCCACCTGATGTGAAACCTACAGGAGGAAATGGAGAAGACCCATCTGATTCTCTACAGGAGAAAATGGAGAAGACCCACCTGATTCGGTGTTCAAAGGAGGAAATGGAGAAGACCCACCTGATTCGGTGTCTAGCGGAGGAAATGGTGATGACCCACCTGATTCGGTGTCCAGCTCTAAAGACAACGCAGACCCACCTGATTCGGTGTCCAGCTCTAAAGACAAGGACATGGAGTCTGATTGTGAAACCTACAGGAGGAAATGGAGAAGACCCATCTGATTCTCAAGGAGGAAATGGAGAAGACCCACCTGATTCGGTGTCTAGCGATCAACCCACATGCCCTCTATGTAACCTACAGGAGGAAATCTGGCGAAGCACCTTCACAGATTAGGAGTATACAATCAAAACACCTTCACAGATTGAGAGTATACACTCAACCCACATATACTCTATGTAACCTACAGGAGGAAATGGAGAAGTCCCACCTGTCTATGTGACCTACAGGAGGAAACGGAGAAGACCCACCATATGTAACCTACATGAGGAAATGGAGAAGACCCATCTGAGTGAAACCTACAGGAGGAAATGGAGAAGACCCATCTGATTCTCTACAGGAGAAAATGGAGAAGACCCACCTGATTCGGTGTTCAAAGGAGGAAATGGAGAAGACCCACCTGATTCGGTGTCTAGCATGTCCAGCCCTAGAGACAATGACGGAAAGCCAGAGATACTGGGAAGCAAAAAGACAGCTAATGAACCGCTATTAATTAACTGCTATATATGCACCCTCCACCCACCCACACACCCATGGGGAAAGCTGAAGACAAAGTTTAAGGGCTAATGATAAATATCATAAAGCCTACAATTTAAAAACTCTGAAGCCAAAGACGGGTCAGAGTGCACACACTGTCTTCGCAATGACAGTACGTGCAGAAGTGAAGTATACTTGGTATTCATGCGTCCCAACGAATTCTTTGAGTGCTTTTTACAGAATATTATCGTAGCCATATTGATCCTAATCGACTACTCATTACATTCAGCAGAATGCGCATTTTGTGACATTTGAGTCACTTTATTCCAACGACCAACTCTGAATCATTGCAGTTATTGTGCTCGTCAGGTCCATTACCAAATCACTTCACGTTAATTGGATTAGAGAGAAGAGGGGTATCGTTGCATCCTCCAACTTCGCCTCTCAATAGATGGCCAAGCCATGGCCACCTCGTTTTGGTTATTTTGAAGGTTAGCCAAGCTCAAATGCCTATTTCACTTGCCAATCCTATTCTGAATAGTCGAAATTCAGCGGGACCTAGTTTAGCAGAAGCCCCTCGAGGATCAGGCCAAGTTTGAGTGGAGAGAGTGAGAGAGTGACCAAGGAAGGAAACGCGAAACCCACACATTGCCTTTCTCACATATAGCAATGAAGAGTGCTCGTTCTCCCTGAGAACTCCATGCTGTTAGCCTGTTTGTTTCCATGTATGTACGTTGCTCACGTACAGACATCAATATCACTGTCTGTTCTCCATGAACTGCAACGCACTCGCATTTGCACGAATTTCTCCCCAATTGTTCCAACCACTAAAAGACTCCTCTCAAAGACAGCTGAAGCCTCTTGAATACAATCATGCACCTCGATTCGACCACCTTCCCTACCCTCACCCAATCCCCCCCCCCCCAACCCCCCCCCCCCCAACGTCTATTTCGGGTGTCTTTTTCATGTAACAAAGTGCCACAACTTAGGGTGCTTTAATCTGAGGGGGAACTTTGCTGAATAAATTAGTGCATTTAGTCGAGTTCAATAGTTTCCATCCTGACATTTACCTTTCTAGTCTCTGGTTAGTCACTGATTTCGCGTAATTGTAAGATCTAACAACCACCCAATCACCCCTCGAAATTCAACTTCCAGATTGGGATATCATCAGCATTTAAATACATTTATGACCACTAATTGGTACTTTCTAGAACATTGTGGCGTTCGTAGGCCATAAATGCAATTCCTTCAATTGGTGTATTCCATAGCTTGTCCATTCAATTCCTTAATGGGGTGTGGTGGACCTCTAAATACCTACCTACTTGGAGGATATCTGAAGTTACTTCTCATTTCCATCAACACTGATACATATGGACTTTGAGAATGTGTGCCGATTTATGTTTAGGTCAACACCCCGATTAGATGGAGACTGATTGAATGACATCCTAGTAACAATAATGCGTGTGAGGGTGTCAGGAAACACACATCCACAGTGTTAAATTGCTAGTAAATATTGCTACTCACGATTTCAACCAAATATTCGAATGTACTCGTGATCAAAAGAACTTGTGAGAAATTTGAAAAAGACCTTTTAAATATGTTAAACACAAATATTCAAACACGTGTTGAGTGATTGGAAGTGGTGAAGAAAAATATTGTTGCTGTACTTCATTTGCTATCGGGTATAAAAGACAGCGGTGTCACTATTTCGCCATTTTCAATCGAACCGAAGGATAATAGAACGCAATGAGCTCTTCTTCAACGGGGACCAAAATTTTAGTCGACACAGAAAAAATTAAACATTCCTTTTGGGAAATCGCAGAAACATTGTACCCAGCAATGAAACAATACATTGACAAATATTTAGCAGAGGCAGATAAATCAATACCAACAAATTCAGAAGAACCTGAAAAGGTGTCGCCGGTTGAGAGTGAAGGCATTAAGCCAGTTTTGCAAGATGAAGAGAATCCAGCCGACCTAAATGATGAGAATCAAGATGAGACATATGAAGAAAAGCCAGTATTTCTTGGTGGGGGTAAACAATATGAATTCGTTGAGAAAGAAGCAGTTGATCCAGTTGAGAATGAAACAGAAGAACCCAATAAAGAAAAATTAGATAAGACAAATGAGGAGAAGCCAGTTGTGCCAGATGAGGAGGAAGCAGTTGAGACAGATGGGGAGGAAACCGTTGATCTAGTTGAGAATGAGCCAATTGATAAACCTCCTTTCATATATCTCTATGATTTGATCAAGTTTCTTTATCCAGAATATTCGAAATTTCTCGACACGTGTAACGTTGAAACTGTGCCAATTCTTTGAAATTAATCTATTCATCATTTGGCTTAATTTTTAGCTCAAACAAATATTCCCGATCAAGGTATCTTTCAAGTGTTCCTTTCTGGATTGCGTTTTTTCTTCGAAAGATTTCAAACCATCGAAAACGTCATAGTTTTCTTCTGATTGCCATAGGCTTGCCATGTTGCAAATATTTTGAAAATTGAGTCGACGTAATTGAGACGCCAACTGTAGGAAACACGACTCTCGGTATGCTTGCATGACCCTGAATTAGCAATGCTACTCATCTTCATTATTTCGTCTTTTTTCTTGAAGAAGTACTTGTGTGGGCATGGGGTGTAGCAAAAGCTTGGTTGTGTAATGCGGTGTGTAAAGCAATTTATTTCAGATCGCTAACGCAATGCAGCAAATTACTATGGCTGCTCAACCCCAAACATAACCTCTTATGCGAGTTCTATCGATAGGTCTAATCTGATGATGTCTGAGACATGCATGCACACATTCATCAAATTTACTCGCCCTTTTGTTAATACTTATCAATATTGGGGAGTGGAACTGATGAATTCTAAAACTCAAGACGATCTCTGTCAACGAAGTATAATGATGGACAGATGAATTAGACTAGAATCATGAGCATTTATAAAATATGTGCAGTGGTACGTAATGGGATAGAAGAGTGAGGGAATTTGGACACGCAATGCGTTTACACAGCATAAGTCCAGGAAACTGGCTCCATTCGTAAGCTTAGAAACACCAATAGGACTCACAGAAGAGAGGAAAAGTGGACATAGGTAGTGTTCAATAGAGATGTGGAGTAGCTAACTGCATGAGAGGCATTGTGGCAAAATGCACGTTAAATGAGTTACAATGCCATCGTTTTCTCCTGTTTGTCAAAATCTCGACATTATGCGACGTTGGGAAAATTAAGTCGACGTAGTTGAGACGCCAACAGTAGGAAGCACAACTCTCAATTTGCTCACGTCTCGGTGATGAAATAAACTTTATATTGACAATTTGAACATGATTACCATGTGCCTTGAGTGTCAAGTTCTTGTTGCTCTAGTTTGTTCACTACAATTATTCATCTGTCAAACTGGAATCCAGGCGACTGGCAGTTTGGTGAACCATAGGCGAGGAATGATCAGACTGAAACGGGATGAAATCTGTCTTGGTAACAATGGTGTGTGAGTGCTGCTTAATAAGAAGCTCATGTGTCAGACGTGGTGTGTGAAGAAGAACCATCATATTACAATTGTGAATGATCGAACAGCTAGTAATTCCATGTGGCGTTTTGCAGTCGGACAGTGTTGATCGGAAAGTTTGAGTTGTGTGCTTTCTACCAAGAAGGGTGATCTAAACAGACGCAATTTATTGGCGTCGATATAAATGTGTGCTGACTCTAACGTGTCGGTGAAACAACTTCTCACTAGATATTTGGCTTGAACTAAGAACTACAGGAGAAACTCACCCGTTTCCAGAAGTAAGATGGAGGGTGGGGGGAGGGGGGGTGAGGAATGTGGAGACTGACGACAGTAGGAAAAGTAATCGAAGAAACCGACTAATAGGGAAGATGTTTAAGGTGCATAAATCGAATGCGAGAAGTGCCAATGGTTTCTTGTAGCATTTTTGTAAGCAATCCTAAATGGTGTGGCGTGTGATGAACAAAGTTAAACGTTTCGATGCAAACTGGTTGAGCAATGCTTCGTCATTCTCTCTTTCGTTCACGACTGAGCTCACGACCCCCTTAGCGTGACTCTCATTCGGAGATAGGAGAGTAAGGTGGAGGAGCAGATTTGTGTGCCTTCGTTGCACATTGATTGAGAATTGTAGAACTCCGAGCCCCAATAGAGAGAGAGGTAGAAAAGCCTTGATAGTTCCGAATGATTAGGTGTGGCACTAAAGGCGAAAAAGGAGACTCATTAAAGTGACTGACCTCATGCTCATTCACTATTTTCGCGTTGAGAGGTGGATGGGNGGGAGGGGGGGGGGAGGGGGGGTGAGGAATGTGGAGACTGACGACAGTAGGAAAAGTAATCGAAGAAACCGACTAATAGGGAAGATGTTTAAGGTGCATAAATCGAATGCGAGAAGTGCCAATGGTTTCTTGTAGCATTTTTGTAAGCAATCCTAAATGGTGTGGCGTGTGATGAACAAAGTTAAACGTTTCGATGCAAACTGGTTGAGCAATGCTTCGTCATTCTCTCTTTCGTTCACGACTGAGCTCACGACCCCCTTAGCGTGACTCTCATTCGGAGATAGGAGAGTAAGGTGGAGGAGCAGATTTGTGTGCCTTCGTTGCACATTGATTGAGAATTGTAGAACTCCGAGCCCCAATAGAGAGAGAGGTAGAAAAGCCTTGATAGTTCCGAATGATTAGGTGTGGCACTAAAGGCGAAAAAGGAGACTCATTAAAGTGACTGACCTCATGCTCATTCACTATTTTCGCGTTGAGAGGTGGTTGGGATGTGAGTGAGGTGCCAAATCAGAATCATCTAATTTGTACACTTCCAAATCACGTAGACTTTCTTCAAACTCCACTCTGGTATACCAACACACACTGTCTCTCTTCCAACTGGCTTGTGAATATACTATGATGATCGATCGAGTGTGCGCGGTAGACTTACCTTCACGTTGTGCATCCTGGACAACGTATATTCATACGGCAAAAGTCCATCACTCGGCATTTGACTTATATTTATTATGATTAGCTGGAAACAAGGCTATAAGAGAAATCGTCCTCGTCAGGGCGAATCACAGCGTCTACAGATCCTCCAGTGGAATGCTGGGGGGATGTCACAGGACAAAAAAATCCGAGTCCAGAAAATCTTATAAACCTATGGTGTTAACATTTTTGCATTTATAGAAGCAAACCTTTCGGATAACAAACTGAAGTACTACCGATTCCCAGGTTACACATTATACATTCTACCTAAATACCGGCAAGTTGCAAATGGAATTCTGACTGGAGTAAAAGAAGGCCTCACATCACATGACGATCTAATAAAGAGTATGGGCTCGAAGCAAGACATATACAAAATAATTAGATTAATTGTTTGGAAATGTCAAAAGCACTTCAAGATATATGGGGTCCATAATCCACCCCCAGATTATGCCCAACTATGATTTTCTGAACAACGAACTGCTTACCATCGACTCCGAAATAGCGAGGTTCTATTCCCAATTAAGACAGTTTGGTGAAAGTAAGGAAGACATAAAAACACCAAATAATGCACTTACTGAACCATTTAGACCTTGCTAACTTAATGCTGCGATAAAACAGCTAAAGTGCAAGAAGTCTTTTGGCTAAGACGGTATTCATTCGGAATTTCTAATTAGAATGGGACCAAAAGCCAAGGAAACCATGCTGATGCTTTTCAACAAAATCTGGGAGACCATTCTCGTACCTAACCAATGGAAAGTTGCCATAGTAATACCAGTACTAAAAAAGGGTAAAGACCCTAGCAACTTTGACAACTATAGGCCTATCTCCTTCACAAGCATTGTGGCTAAACTTATGGAAAGAATGGTTAACAGGAGGCTCACCTGGTTCCTTGAAACCAATAATAATCTTACCAATGAACAAGTAGGTTTTAGGCCTCAAAAACCAACTAACCAACAATTAGCCACTTTCTCCCAAAATATCAAAGATGCCCTTGATGCAAGAATACCCTTACGGCTGTTTTCGTCGATTTCAAATCAGCATCTTACGGCTGTTTTCGTCGACTTCAAATCAGCATATGACCGATAGAGAAGCTAATTCTAAAATTGGCAAAGATTGGTATTGTGATTTCAAATCAGCATATGACTTAGTATGGAAAGAGAAGTTCTTCAAATCAGCATATGACTTAGTATGGAAAGAGAAGCTAATTCAAAAATTGGCTAAGATTGGTATTAACCATAACATGTTAAACTGAATAAAAGCATTGATTGGACAAAGATTATGTAAAGTCAGATATGGAAATGCTCTATCGAAATCCAATCTTTAACAAACAGGCCATCCACAGGAAGCTGAAGCCTCTTGAATACAATCATACACCTCGATTTGACCACATTCCCTACCCCCACCCAATCCCCCCCCCCCCCCNGAGAGAGTGACCAAGGAAGGAAACGCGAAACCCACACATTGCCTTTCTCACATATAGCAATGAAGAGTGCTCGTTCTCCCTTAGAAAGCCCATGTTGTTAGCCTGTGTGTTTCCATTTATGTACGTTGCTCACGTACATACATCAATATCACTGTCTATTAGACGTGAACTGCAACGCACTCGCATTTGCACGAATTTCTCCCCAATTGTTCCAACCACTAAAAGACTCCTCTCAAAGACAGCTGAAGCCTCTTGAATACAATCATGCACCCCGATTCGTCCACCATCCTTACCCCCACCCCCACCTCTCTATTTCGGGTGGCTTTGTCATGTAACAAAGTGATTTAATCTGAGGTGGAACTTTGCTGAATAACTGAGTGCATTTAGTCGAGTTCAATAGTTTCCATCCTGACATTTACCTTTCTAGTCTCTGGTTAGTCACTGATTTCGCGTAATTGTAAGATCTAACAACCACCCAATCACCCCTCGAAATTCAACTTCCAGATTGGGATATCATCAGCATTTAAATACATTTATGACCACTAATTGGTACTTTCTAGAACATTGTGGCGTTCGTAGGCCATAAATGCAATTCCTTCAATTGGTGTATTCCATAGCTTGTCCATTCACTTCCTTAATGGGGTGTGGTGGACCTCTAAATACCTACCTACTTGGAGGATATCTGAAGTTACTTCTCATTTCCATCAACACTGATACATATGGACTTTGAGAATGTGTGCCGATTTATGTTTAGGTCAACACCCCGATTAGATGGAGACTGATTGAATGACATCCTAGTAACAATAATGCGTGTGAGGGTGTCAGGAAACACACATCCACAGTGTTAAATTGCTAGTAAATATTGCTACTCACGATTTCAACCAAATATTCGAATGTACTCGTGATCAAAAGAACTTGTGAGAAATTTGAAAAAGACCTTTTAAATATGTTAAACACAAATATTCAAACACGTGTTGAGTGATTGGAAGTGGTGAAGAAAATGTGCTCGATGTACTTTCAAGAATCAGCTGGTTGAATTGCTTCATCAAAACATTCGAGTATAAAAGCCAGCGAAGACATTACTCCAAAGTAACCAAAGACTAGAAGGTTAATTGAACACAATGAGCTCCTCCTCAACAGGCAAGGTGATTTCTCTCGACAAGGAAAAGATTAAGAATTGCTTTTGGGACATCGCAGATGCACTATTTCCGGAAATGAAAAATTGTCTTGAAAAATGCATAGATAAGAATGAGAACGTAAAGCCAACGGTTCCAGGAACAGGAATGCCAGCACCAGAGCCGCCTAGTGACACTGACGAGGAGAATCCAGAGGAGCCAGGTGAAGAGAAGCCTGGAGACACTGATGAGGAGAATCCAGAGGAGCCTGGTGAAGAGAAGCCTGGAGACACTGATGAGGAGAATCCAGAAGAACCTGGTGAAGAGAAGCCTGGTGACACTGATGAGGAGAACCCAGAAGAGCCAGGTGAAGAGAAGCCTGGTGACACTGATGAGGAGAACCCAGAAGAGCCGGGTGAAGAGAAACCTGGTGACACTGATGAGGAGAATCCAGAAGAACCTGGTGAAGAGAAGCCTGGTGACACTGATGAGGAGAACCCAGAAGAGCCAGGTGAAGAGAAGCCTGGTGACACTGATGAGGAGAATCCAGACGAACCTGGTGAGGAGGATCCTGACTCTGATAAGATAAAGGATTGTTTCTGGGAAATTGCTAAAAAGTTCTATCCTAATTTGAAAAAATGTATCGAAAAATGCTTGGAAGAGACAGATATGGAAATACAAATAAAACCTGACGGCAAAAAAGGAATTTAAATTTAGAGTTCAGATTTTCTATTGATCGACAATGTTAACATGGATGAAATATGAGCTCATTGTGTTTCATTTAACATAACGCATTTTAGATTAGCTTTTAGCTCAAATAAATCATTCTAAAGCCGCTGTTCATTGATTTTTTCCTTTTCTGAGCTACGTTTTTCTTTGATCAATTTCAATTAGCCAAATGCCTTACTATCCATTTAATACGAACTTTGTTCACCATGTCATTGGTAAAAATCTGGTTGTCATAAGCTCTGCATGTTGAGATGATGAAGCAATTCAGTCGACGTAGTTGAGACACCAACAGTAGGAAACATAAATCTCGATTTGCTCTCGTGTCGGCGATGATATCAACTTTGTATTAACAATTTGAACATGATTACCATGTGCCATGAGTGTCAAGTTTTTGTTGCTCCAGTTTGTAGTCAGACAGATGAACCTGGTGAGGAGAAACCTGGAGACACTAATGAAGAGAATCCAGATGAACCTGGTGAGGAGGATCCTGATTCTGATAAGATTAGGGATTGCTTCTGGGAAATTGTCAAAAAGTTCTATCCGAAAATGAAAAAATGCATTGAAAAATGTTTGGATTAGTCAGATATGGATAAACCAGTAAAACCAGCTGGATAAGTGAAAAATTGACATTAGAACGCAGATTTTGTCCCTCATTATTCTCCTAATCTGTCATTTAATATTAGCTCATTGTGTTTCATTTAACCTATCCAATGTTAGATTAGCCTTTAGCTCAAATAAATCATCCTTAACCCGATCTCTATTGATTTTTTTCCTTTTCAAGACTTCTTCTTGCCCTTGTCCAATTTCAATTAGTCAAATGCCTTACTATCCATTAAATACGCCCCTTTTTCACCATCTCATTGGTGAAAATTTGGTTGTCTAACACACGACATGTTGTAATGTTGAGAAAAGTGAGTTGATGTAGTTGAGGCACCGACAGTGGGAAGCACATCTCTCGATTTGCTCTCATCTCCGTGATGAAATCGTTTTAAATTAACAATTTGAGTGTCAGGTTCTTGTTGCTCTAGTTTGTAGTCAGACAGTGTTGATCGGAAAGTTTGAGTTGTGTGCTTTCTACCAAGAAGGGTGATCTGAACAGACGCAATTTATTAGCATCGATATCAGTGTGCACTGACTCTAACGTGTCGGTGAAACAACTTCTCACTAGATATTTGGCTTGAACTAAGAACTACTGGTGAAACTCACCCGTTTCCAGAAGTAAGATGGAGGGTGGGGGGAGGGGGGGGGTGAGGAATGTGGAGACTGACGACAGTAGGAAAAGTAATCGAAGAAACCGACTAATAGGGAAGATGTTTAAGGTGCATAAATCGAATGAGATAAGTTCCAATGGTTTCTTGTGGCATTTTTGTAAGCAATCCTAAATGGTGTGGCGTGTGATGAACAAAGTTAAACGTTTCGATGCAAACTGGTTGAGCAATGCTTCGTCATTCTCTCTTTCGTTCACGACTGAGCTCACGACCCCCTTAGCGTGGCTCTCATTCGGAGATAGGAGAGTAAGGTGGAGGAGCAGATTTGTGTGCCTTCGTTGCACATTGATTGAGAATTGTAGAAACTCGAGCCCCAATAGAGAGAGAGGGTGAAAAAGCCTTGATAGTTCCGAATGATTAGGTGTGGCACTAAAGGCGAAAAAGGAGACTCATTAAAGTGACTGACCTCATGCTCATTCACTATTTTCGCGTTGAGAGGTGGATGGGGTGTGAGGGAGGTGCCAAATCAGAATCATTTAATTTGTACATTTCGAACTCACGTTGACTTTCTTCAAACTCCACTCTGTCATTCCAACACATATTGTCTCTCTTCCAGCTGCCTTGGGAATACACTATGATGGTCGATCGCTGATTATTGGCTTGTTTAATGCCTCTGTGAGTTGTGTCCACTGACACTTATCACTACTCCAACTACCAATGAGGTAAGAAAGCACATTCGCTCATCCAACATGTCTCACTAAGTTCGTCCATTTCCGATACACCCCAGTGACTGCCCACTTCTTTGTTTTCGTTTCTGCCTCTTCATCTCTCATTCCTTCTCCCATTCATCCACTTATAATGCCCCTCTACTAGTAATGACCATCTATTTCGTCATTTCATCTTCTTTGAAGTACTACTTCTATGAACAGCGATTTATGCAGATCGGTATACCTTAGCAACTGAATTCTGAATTCTGAATCTGAGACTTACTGTGAACATAGGTTAGATCAAGTAATTCAAACGCGGGATGCTGCTGTCATGAGTAGAGATGTCTGCTGCTATTGCTGTCGACTCTCGCCATTTCTTTCTGCAAATTTACCTTTTCACACGCCTTCGGGAATATTCGTTCTCTCGAATTTCCTCGTTTTGTCTATAGGATGGATGGAAGGTTAACCTCATAATGAAGACTTCTATTCACATAACCAGTCAGCTTTGTTAACTGGTTGACAATTTGCAACGGAGAATGCAAAAGTAGGTCGAACCACTAACAGTGCTGGCCACGAGAGAATTGCAGAGAATAAGTCGAAAATGAGAAGTGGCAAGTGGGAAGTGGGTAAAGGGAAGAGAATGAGCCACCACAATACGGACCTCACCCTTTCTATGATTAAACCAGTATAGCCTTCAAATTCATAGGCGTCAATTGGATCGCAGTATCAAAATCGGTGTTCCCAACATCGTCGTGCTTGTAACTAAGCTTCACAATAGTCAGGGACTTTTAAGTTTGTTTATCAAATCTTCGAGGAAACAGTTAGTCATTCTATTTGCACCTGGGTTAATATACTGAGATGTAGATGATGAATAAGATGTGAGCCACATCACACGGTGAGAGGAAGGATGTTGATAGCACCTAGTGTTGAGGATTCTTGCAGTCTATTCTCCTCATTATACTGGCACCTCTCATTTTGTGGGAAAACTAATGGTGTGGGGAGAGCAGACCAGTCGGTTTTGGCGTCTGAAGACAGGATAAAGTCACTTTCGGGTGCCTACGAAGGCATCATGGAAGAAGTGGAGTTGGAAATGGAAGAATGGGAACGATGTCCACCAAAGCGTCAAATTGCCTTCGTTTCCATTCACCGAGCATACTTTTAAACACCATGGATGTGTTAATTAGTGGTATGTAGACCAAGATGCAGTGGGACCATGGGAGTAGTTTCGGCACGCAGCTAGTTTCCTATGATTAATGTGAATATGTACAACAAGGTCAAATGTCACTCTCAATGAGGTAAGTGTAGCTACATATTTTGCTACCTGAGGAGAATAAACGAAATTACAAAATAGTTGGAAACGTCAAATATAGTTGGAGTCTACAATTCCTAAACTCCTCAAATCCATTCATCCAGTTGTTGCTAAGATTCCATGCTTTAGAAGCAAGGTGTCAACTTGTCGCAATTCTGCTTTCTGAGCACAACTTTACCTTGATTTCGGTGCTCGAATTCACCGTCTTTTCGAAAACCCTTGGTGTTTGAAGTCATTTCGAAAGCACCATGCCATCCAAGTAACTTTGAGACTGATCCTTGCGTGACTTGTGATGATGGACAATCAACATCTGAGGTCAAGTCTTAGGTGTCCATGCGAGTACTCAATAACCTTGCCTCACATGTCGCCATTTCGTTTAGATCACCATTAATGACCTCTTCGAATTTGCAACTCTTCTTGCTTCTCCTCATCTATGTCAGTACTGACTCCCTGACTATTCACAGACACTTCTCCACCAATGGACAAGCTCCACAATAGCTCGAAATATTTGTAACCAAAGTTACTCTCCTTCAACATCACGTCCTCCAGCCTCTGTCAACTCACCTCAGATACTTTCGAAGACACTTTCTTTCACGAGGAATTTGACCATGGATATTTGGGTATTTGGAATTCAATAATTCTCTCTTACCTACCCTGTATTCACTGCTGAAAGCTGCAAAATCCTAATATGCAGAAGCAATTCTCGATTCCCCAAGTACCACCCAATCTCCCTTATGATGGAATCAAATTCTGACGAGACAACAGAACTTGGTCACTTCTAGTCTCAATGGGCCTTAATGGTGAGGATTCTGCAGAGG